TTCTTTTGATGGTTTGTAAATGAGGTTGTTTTCTTAGTTTCATTTTCTAATTGTTCATGGCTAATATGTAAAAATAAAATTGATTTTTTATATTGATCTTGGACCTGCAAAATTGCTGAATTATTTATTAGTTCTAATAGTTCTTTTATGGATTCTTTAGGACTGTCCACATGTTATATGTAGATTAAAAAAAAACAAACACAAAACTTCTTCCCTTCCAATCTGGATGCCTGGGTTTTTTTGTTTTTTTGTTTTTTCCTCCTTGATTAATTGCCCTAGCAAGAATTCCCAGTGCAATGTTGAATAGAAGTGGAGAGAGTATACAAATTTGTCTTGTTCCTTATCTAAGGGGGAAAGCATTCAGTCCTTACCATTAAGTATGACATTAGCTGTGACTTTACCATACATATCCACAACAGGATGAGGACATTCTCTTCTATTTCCAGTTTGTTGAGTGTTTTTATCATGAAAGGGTAATGGATTTCATCAAACGATTTTTTTTCTAAATCTACTCAGATGATCGTCTGCTTTTGTCTTTTGCTTTTGTCTGCATATTCTGTCAATATGTTGTATTGCATTGATTTGTTCTCATATATTAAACCAACTTTAGATTCCTGTTTTAAATCCAACCAGGTCATGTATATAATCTGAGCTTCTATTTATATTTTTTCACTCTTTTTCTTTCTATTTCTCAGAGTGGATAGTATCATTAGACCTCTCTTCTAGTTTCTTTTTTTAGTTCAAACCCATTGTTAAGCCCCTCTGGTGATTTTCACATTCCAGTTATTGTACTTTTCAACTCTTGAATTTCTATTTGGCCCTTTTTAAAATAACTTCTATCTCCATATTTGACGGCACATTGTTCTCATACTTCTGTTTAATTATTTAGACATGCTTTCCTTTACAGTTTTCAACATATTTACAATGGCTTAAAGTCCATTTTGAGTAAATCCACCATCTGGGCTACTTCAGGCTCTATTGAGTTTTTTTTTTTCTGTGTATAGGCTATACTCATTTTTTGTTTCTTTACATGCTTCGTAATTTCGTTGGAAACTAAACATTCAAATAATAATGTGGCAACTCTGGAACTCAAAATCCTTCTCCCCCAAACCAGGATTTGCTGTTGCTGCTATTCATTATTATTGCTGCTATCTATTTGTGTAGCAACTTTCTTGACTAATTTTATAAAATCTGTAGTCTTTTAGATATTTGGGCATTGATGTTTTGCTTGGTTACTTTAGTAGTCTGCTAATGGTTGGACAGATTTCTTTAAATACCTTGAACCAGTGTCTCCTGGCCTTTGTGGACTGGAGGAACCTTTTGACGCTCCAGCAAGCAGTTTACAATTCTATTCCTGCCTTTGCTTTTCCCTTGCACCAAGCCTCAAGGTCAGCCAGACGTGAGAGATTAGGGCCTTCTCAGGTCTTTCCTTGGCATTTTCATAGCCTTGATCATATGTATAATGTTCTAGGTTCCCAAGAAAATCTCAGAGCTTTTCAAATTCCCTTCGTGGACATATCTTAAGCAAATTTTTATATTTAAGGTTTTTTTCAACTTGCTGTTACCCCAACTGGAATCTTCATTGAAGGCAATTGTAAAATTCAGTGATTATCACTGATCATTTTTGACAAATGCCATAGGGTTTTGCAATGTGTACAAAGCAATCTCTGAATCAGCTCAAATAAAGAAAAACCTTTAGTGTGGAGCCTTTTATGGGGGTTCCAAACAGATCAAATAGTGACAATTTTCTGAGCATGAGACGTTAGGGGATCTCCAAACTCATTCTGCTCTGCTAGGCTGCTGCTTTTTGCAACTACTATATTCTCAAGGTTATTGGTCTTCAAGGCTATCATGGAGTTGGAAAGAAGGGGCTGGGAATAGGGCAAGTTAAAATGCCATAAAATTTGCTCTTCTTACCAAGATACAACCATTGTTTCTTGAAAAAATGTTCCTGAGTTTTTGTAAGCGTTGGGTTAATTTCCAGAATTCTTGATTTTGCAATTGAATTCTGAAAAGTTGATTGTGACAATTTTCAACAGTGTCCTTACTGCTTTTATGAAGGACTAAACTTTTAGAGTTTCTTACTCTGCTATTTCAGATACGTTTCTCATCCAGATTACTTTTAATAATAGCCTCAAACATATTGTCAAAATTGTCTTAAATCCACTTTGATTAAGTCAGTGAACTGTTGTTGTTTGCCTATAGAATAAAATAAAATGCTCTATCTAGTTCAGTGTTCAAAATTCTCAATATTCTGACCTAACCAATCTTCAAAACTTTTTATATATCCTTTTTCTATAACCTTTATATAGGTATCCTTTTAATATATCCTTTTTTAAACCTATTTTATATATATAAATAGAATTTGTGCCTGAAATAGCCCAAATGTTGGATTTACTCAAAATGGACTTTCACCCTTTCAGGCAATCCACTGATAATTTACTTCAAACTTTTCACAACAATTTCTTTGTAAAATGAAAGGTACACATATATCTGGAGTGCCCTTTGTATCTTCCATCTCTGCATGGCCAAGCAAAAATGCTACCTATTCCCATGAAGATTTTGCTTAGTAACCTAATCATAAATACTGTCTTTAATAAACTCCTAAAGTAATTGTTTTTTCTAACAAGTATAGCATATTCTATTATGTTTTCATATCTTACTTTATAGCAACTTTTTTTACATTTCTGGTTTGTTTTCCATTAGAATAAAATCTTAGAAGATAGGATAATATTACATGTAGACTTGGAAATATGTCAGGCATTTAATAAATGCCTTCTGAATGATTGACTGTATATATTAAAAAATGAATAAAATATACATAAATGAATACTATTATCTTATATCTTTTAGAGAATTATTTCTAATCTTTATTTTTCCCAATATTTTCTAATAGCGTCCCTTGTATATAAGAATGTATTAAATTACTAATATGAATAAGACACTATTTTATTATGTTTAGGTTGAATTACACTTACTGTAATTTCCACATATTTTAACATTTTAAATATTTCCAGAGATGCCTGGACAAAGATGTTGACACTTAAGTAATTTTTAACCAAATTATTTTCTAATGTCAAATATTTATGTTTGGGATACATTATCTAGTATAATAAAACACTTCAGTCTTTTTTAGTGCGTACCTAAATCATATTGAATATAATCGGTGTTATGGATTCCCAACAAAGAACATTCATATCGTATAGCCTGAACTACTATAGTCATTTCATTTGTTGATTGACATATGCATAAAACAGGCAAAAGCAATTACGTTGACAGAATTTTTGATATGTGAAGCATCAGAAGAATGAGAATCAAGAACCATCAGCTATCAATCCATGAGCAGATGTCATCAAAAAGGACTTTGACTCTGCTAAAAAGACACTATAGTCCCTCTGCTACTAGATTAAAATCCCTCTTGGGAAAATTTTCTTTTCTTTGTTTCTCAAGTACTGTTACATGATTTACTTTTGAATAATGGAAGATACAGTCTAAAGTTTACTCAAATTCTTACTGCAAAGTATAAACAAATAATATCTTGATTGGATTAGTAATAAAACATAAAAAAAATAAGGTGAATCGTGCTTGGAGATTACTGATAATATAAACTTGGAATTTTTTTGAATACACTTGTGGCTAGAATTTAAACTAAAGCAATATAGCTTCTTTTTTGTCAGTTAATCTTTCTTCTCAAATTTTTCCTTTCATTAAAAATCTGTAAGATGGTTACAATGGAGCTTTTCTATATCTATCCTAATGATTGGCATTTTCTGAAAAGCAGCCCCATGCTAGTATTTATTTTGATACCCAACCTTTATAATGGGACACGAATGCATTAAGTTTTCACTTTCCACCCATTTGAAGATTTTAGAAATATATAATCCCAAGAGGAGGTACTAGGGATTTGCTTTTGTAGTCACTATGTCTGTATTTCTTCCTTCCAATTTCATCATAAAAACGGTTGTCTTTTAAGAGAGACAGGGAATTGAAAATGTTGCTCAGGGAGGAGGAGATCCAAGAGGTATCCAAAGAAAGATGGGAACTTCCCAGTCAAAGCTGATGAGTCACAACACAAAGACAGTAAAACATCCTCTATCTTTAACATAACATTATGACTGTGTTTTCCAAGGAATTACTTCATGCTCAAATTCCCACCAATAAAGGGAAATTATTGAAAATATATTTGCTAAAGAATATACACAGCAATAATAAGAAAAGACCCTTGTCTGAGCATCTGGGCCTCATAAGATCTCAGGAACACTACACAGTTGGGCTCATAAAAACAGGAATGCAGGGGCGCCTGGGTGGCTCAGTCGTTAAGCGTCTGCCTTCTGCTCAGGTTAAGATCCCAAGGTCCTGGGATTGAGCCCCACGTTGGGCTCCCTACTCAGTGGGAAGCCTGCTTCTCCCTCTCCCACTCTACCCGCTTGTGTTCCCTCTCTTGCTGTCTCTCTCTCTCTGTCAAAATGAATAAATAAAATCTTTAAAAAAAAACAAACAGGAAGGGAGTTTGGGAAGAGATGTGGATATTGAATTTCCAGATCAGCAGTGGGTCTGTAGCTCTCTCTGTGTTTGACTATTATGCTGACTTTGGTAAATCTTGCCTCTGCTTCTATTGCTCTTACCTCTGACAAACACCTTCTCTTGATTTGCCTTTTCATTTCTTCATTGCTTCAATTTACTCACAGTCTCTGCTTCCTCTCAGATGCTGCTTATTAATTACTCTTCCTCATGTCTTCTGCTTATTGCCATTTTTCCCTATATTTTGGCTTCTGCCCCCTGCCACCAGCCAGTCACCTCTAGGTCTTCAATTCAGATTCCCAGAATTCAAATGCAGGTCTAGGATCAAGGGCACAGGAGGAGGCTTGAGATTTTAACTGCATGAGGGAAAACCTCATCCTTTGAGACTGAAGGGGAAAAAGGTGAGATAGATACTTCTGTTGGTTTGGGGACAGGAAGTTGAGAGCAATCATGTCTAATGATTTTTGTCTCTTTAACAGAGTAAGAGACAACACTGTCTGCTAAGAGTGAAGCACGGGGTTCAGGTAAGGAGCTTATAGAGTTGTGGAGGTTTGGACTAGTTTTAGAGGGGAAGCTGGCCAGGAAGAGGTGAAACAATTGACAGGTGGAGTTGAGAGCTGAGGTCTGAGACCAGGTGGGGCCAATCTGCCAGTCCATTTGGATAATGTGCTTTCTTTCCGATTGCATGATTTCAGTACAGCAATGCCACCTCAACCCCTTCAACTCCCTGGTTAGGGACGATGAGGGCAGATGAAAGGCTGCTCAGGACATCAGCCACTTGCACTGAGAGAGAAGAAAAGTTAGGAAGAGGCTGGGGTGATGGAGAGGTCAGGGACTTCCAGTCCTTGAAGTCCTCCCAATCCACTTGAAGAATTGGATGCCAATGCAGAAGGATGGGTGATTAGGTCTAAAAAGTAGGACACTGGAATGGGGTGAGCCAGATTTCAGAGGTGATGCCATGATGTGGTATGTGTGGTAGATTAAATCTGACCACAACTCCTGTACAGCTCTTCTTTCAACTCTGTAGCTGAGCTGGCCTTTGGACTTGCTCTCATCAACAGGACAAGTTCTGGAGTCTGAGCCTTGAGAGGCCTTATGGCTCCTGCCTTTCCTCTCTTGGGACACTGCCCTGGGACTGCCATAGCATGAAAAAGCCCAAGATGAAAGAATCTGGAAAGAGAGACCCAGCCATCCCAGCTGTCTCAGCTGGGCCCATCCCATACCTGTTGCCAACCAAATGCAGCCACAGGAGTGAGCCCAGTGGACACCAGCAGAAGGACTGTCCAATCAACCCACAGACTGATGAAAAATAATAAATATTTGTAAAATATGGTATATTTTTTAAAATAAACAAACCTGGCATGTCTGAGGCCCAGGTGGTAATCCAGAGCAAGTAAGAGATGCAGTCAGAGAGGATACAGGGCGAGGAAGGTGATTGTGTTAAAAATCACTGTAAAACTTGGACTTCCGCTCTGTGATGCAAAGGCATTCAACAGATTCATGCAGGGGAATGACATGATCTGACTTGAGTTTTAAAAGGATCACTTTTATGAATAGCTACAATAAGACATTACATGTAAATATGATGTGACATTGCTCTATTAGTTCACTGAAGACTGATTAGAATATGAATACAAAAAGTATGGGTTTGGCAGTCACATTAATTGACTACTGTTGACAGCTAAATTGGATAATTTGAGTCCAGATATAGAAATTTTGGCTTTGGTTTTTGTAGATGAGATTTACATTCTCATTAACTTAATTTTGCTTCTACATGCCTCTAGGTTACCTTTCCCAGTATTATTTGAGTTCACAATTTTCACAAATTTTCCAAAGTAGAGTCTAGGTCAAGTAAGAAACTATAATAATGCAGATTTCTGTGTAACAGTAAATCTTTTTGAGATTTCAGAGATGTATTCTATAAATATAACCAAATGAAATCATTTTTATACAAATCAGAAATTTTTAAGTAACTCATAAAATCTTTTTTTCTAAATTCTGTCAAACTACAATTTAAAAAAACCCATCAGTAATACAATGTTTGGAATAATAAAGCTAAATGAAAAATGATGTATAAAAGAATCAGAAAATGCTGCACCATTTTAATTTACATCTAAAACCTCCTACAATGACCTCTCCTTGGATATGGCAACATATTTTAACAAACAACTAAATTCTACTAAAATCAGTACAAGTTACCTCTAATTTTTGAAGCAGCAAGATACATGACACAATTTATTTTTATATTCAATTATCTATGCCTAAAAATATAATAAAATGCTGAGTTTAAATTTGGCCAATATGACCTCAGTAAATTTTGCACAACTCCATCTTAAGGCATTATCTCAAATTTCTTTCTTGAAAACTCAAGTGTTGTCAGGAAGAGGCTTAAGTAATTACAAGGGTAAGAGGGGAATCCGAAGGGGGAGACGAACCATGAGAGACTATGGACTCTGAGAAACAAACTGAGGGTTCAAGAGGGGAGGGGGGTGTGGGGATGGGTTAGCCTGGTGATGGGTGTTAAAGAGGGCACGTACTGAATGCAGCACTGGGTGTTATATGCAAACAGTGAATCATGGAACACTACATAAAAAACTAATGATGTAATGTATGGTGATTAACATAACAAAAAAAGAAATTATAAATCAAGATAACATTTGGTAGTGCAAAACTCACAGTCTGGAAGGAAATAGATGCTCAAAAAAATCACTTCAGCATGATTTTAAGTCATTTCTCCAAGATTCAGACAAATGTTTATAGCAGGGTAGTACATTCAAATATTTTTGGTGTGTGTGCTTTTTTTTTTTTTTTTAATTCAAGGTAGTTAACATATAGTGTAGTACTGGTTTCTAGAGTAAAATTAGTGATTCATCACTTACATAAAACACCCATTGGTCATCACAACAAATGCCCTCCTTAATACCCATCACCCACTTAGCCCATCCTCTCACCCATCTCCCCTCCAGCAACCTTCAGTTTGTTCTCTATAATTAAGAATCTCTTATGGTTTGTTTCCCTCTCTGGTTTTATCTTATTTTATTTTTCTTTCCCTTCCCCTATGTTCATCTGTTTTTTGTTTTTTGTTTTTTTTTGAAAATTTATTTATTTTAGAGAAAGAGAGCACAAGTGGGAGGGACAGAAGAAGAGGGAGAGAGAATCTCAAGTGACTCCACGCTGAGCACAGAGCCCAGCACAGGGCTTGTCTCACTCCTGAGATTGCGGCCTGAGCCGAAACCAAGAGTCCATCGCTTAATGGACTGCACCACCCAGGTACCCCTCATCTGTTTTGTTTCTTAAATTTACATATGAGTGAAATCATATGGTATTGTCTTTCTCTGACTGACTTATTTTGCTTAGCATAATACACTCTAGTTCTATCCACATCATTCCAATGGCAAGATTTCATTCTTTTTGATGGCTGAGTAATATTCCATTGTATTTATATACCATCTCTTCTTTATCCATTTACCAGTCGATGGACATTTGGGTTCTTTCCATACTTTGGCTATTGTTGATAGTGCTGCTATAAACATTGGGGTGCATGTGTCCCTTTGAATCAGCATTTTTGTATTTGGATAAATACCTAGTAGTGCAATTACTGGATTATAGGGTAGTTCTATTTTTAACTTTTAGGAAGCCTCCATACTGTTTTCCAGAGCGGCTGCACCAGTTTCCATTCCCTCCAACAGTGCAAAAGGGTTATCCTTTCTCTGCATCCTCACCCACATCTGTTGTTTCCTGAGTTGTTAATTTTAGCCATTCTGACTGGTGTGAGGTGGTATCTCATTGTGGTTTTGATTTGTATTTCTCTGATGATGAGTGATGTTGAGCATCTTTTCATTTGTCTGTTGGCCATCTGTATGTCTTCTTTGGAGAAATGTCTGTTCATGTCTTCTGCCCATTTCTTGAATGGATTATTTATTTTTGGGGTGTTTAGATTGATGAGTTCTTTATAGATTCTGGATACTAGCCCTTTATCCAATATGTCATTTGTAAATATCTTCTCCCACTCCATTGGTTGCCTTTAAGTTTTGTTGATTGTTTTCTTTGCTGTGAATAAGGTTTTTGTCTTGATGGAGTCCTAATAGTTCATTTTTGCTTTTGTTTCCTTTGCCTACTAGACATGTCTAGTAAGAAGTTGCTGTGGCTGAAGTCAAAGAGGTTGCTACCTGTTTCTTCTCTAAAATTTTGATGTCTTCCTGTCTTACATTTAGGCCTTTCATCCACTTTAAATTTATTTTTGTGAATGGTGTAAGAAATTGATCCAGTTTCATTCTTCTGCATGTTACTGTCCAGTTTTCCTAGTATATTAAAATATTAATTTTTTGTGTTACATATCTTCCCATTCCCATATTCTTTTTTTTAAGATTTTATTTATTTATTTGAGAGAGAGAGAGATAGCAAGAGAGAGCACAAGCAGGGAGAAGAGGGAGAAGCAGGCTCCCCATTGAACAGGGAGCCTCACTCGGGGCTCAATCCCAGGACCCTGAGATCATGACCTGAGCCAAAAGCACATGCTTAACCAACTGAGCCACCCAGATGCTCCCCTCCCCCATTCCCATATTCTAAGGGCTTTTAAATTCCTTGTCTTAGATAAATTTGCTGTTAGCAAAGCAATAGTTGCTTCAAACTTCTATTTTGCACAAACTTTTATTTTCAAGTTTTCACTAACTTTCAATTCTGGGTGTTGTTTTCCTAGAGTTTGAGCTGTTGCACTAATTATGCTAGGAGGACACAAAGGAAGACCAGGGGCAGAGTGGGGCAGAGAAGCAGATAGGTGGACAGGTGAAACTTATCCAGCCTGAATAGTATAGGGTACAGGTCTGGCCTTTACTGGGATCAGCACCTATTACGTGATTTGACCTCAAGGATAGGTAGTATAGTACATCAGGGAACCTAGACATTTGTTTGGGTGACCAAGGTCACTAAAGATTGGAGTACATCTAGTACTGTCCGGAGAAAGCATTGCACTGACCATTCTGGGCAATTAAACATCACTTGAGTTTTCTTCATACCTTGGTGACTTTTACACAACTCTAGGTAGCAGGAACCCCAATATTGACTGAAATTGAATAGCCATCAATTTACATAAAATGTTAACTGCAGATTCCTGTCAGATAGGTGAACCGGCTTGGGCTGTCTTACCCAAAATCAACTCTCAAAAACTTGGGAAGAAGAGTGCAGTGCACAACTCAGTAACTACCCCTGACAACTAGATAACACAGCAAGAAAACTTTGGCGAGACGGACGGCTTCCTTGAACTACTTTATGTTGGGTGATGAGGTGTGGGGCATTGCAGCCTGGGGCAGAAGGAGGCCAAAGGTAGCAGCCAGAGGAAAGACTAGGAAAAGCTTTTAGCATATGTAAGGAGATCAGCCTGTGAAGTGAGTTGCAGTATTTCCCACCTAGATTGTTAATGTGTTTTTTAACTATTCTTAAGTCATGTAAAAGTTTTGGAGGTCAGGGTGTATGTTTTTAAAGCTCTCTTTTTCTTTTATGGCATCTTCACTTTGGTCTTATCCAGAAAGGCTTTTCCTCAGTCCAAAGCAATGAAGACTTTTCCCATATTTAATTTTAGCACTCTTAAAGTGTTAATTTCTATATTTACATTTTAATCCATTTGGATTTTATTCAGGTGCATGGTAAGAAATATAGATCCAAATTTATCTTTTTCCAGATATTTATCAAGCCGTTCCAGAACTATTTTTTAATTATTATTTTTAACTATGTTAAAAGACACATAATAGGAAATTCACCTTCCCAACTATTTTCAGGTGTACAGCTCAGTGGCATCAAGTACATTCAGATTGTTGGGCAACCATCGCCACCAGCCTTCCCCAGAACTCTTTTCATCTTGCGAGATGGAAACTCTATACCCATTAAACGATAATTCTCCCTTCTGCCCTCAGTCTCTGGCAACCACCATTCTACTTTCTGATATTTCACTTAGCAAAACATCCTCAGGTTCATCCATGTTGTAGCATGTGTCAGAATTTCCTTCCTTTTTAAGACTAAGTAACATTCCATTGTATGTATATGCCACATTGTCTGTATCCACGCATCTGGTGATGGACTCTTGGATCATGTCCACATTTTTGTTTTTGTGAATAATGCTGCTCTGAACATGGATGTACAAGTATCTCTTCAAGTTCCTGCTTTTAATTATTTTGAGTACATACCCATCGGTGGATTTGCTAGGTCATATGGTAATTCTATTTTTAATTTTAATTTTTAATATTTAAAATACACATGTTTATGTGTGTGTATACATATATATACAAAGCTTCACTATCCACCTAAAAACACTTTCAAAATAAATACTAACAAATATTTCTTTAAAATTCATATGTAAATACGTAATATATATACATACATACATGTACATATATAGTACCAATTGCAAATTAAAAAAAAAACAGGCAATTTTGCTACTAGGTGGAAATTGTACTTCTCACACATTAGTCAATGCATTAAAGAAAAAAATGAAGTTCTAAAAATTTGAAAGAGGAGGTAAAACTATTACTATTTGCATGGAATAGCAATACTTTAGATATGTATACCTATATAATACAATAAGCATACAATATAATAGGTATGAATCTATATAAAATGTAGTATCAATACTTTTATGTAAGTATGTGTGTACAGGTATGTATTTTTTGAGTATATATAAGCTTATATATATTTATATATATAAAATTATGCTGGTGTGTGTATATAAATTTCTATATTAATTTTAGAGATATATTTATTAGCATTTATTTTTAAAGTGTTTTTTAGTTGGATATTCAAGCTTTGTTAAAGGCATTTTTAGTCACCTTGGAGCGAATTAAAAGGTATCTCTATTTTGCTGCATTAAATATGATCAAAGTCACACTGATAATATTCCAAGAGTGAAGCTCTTTGCATTTCTGAAAAACCCACGTTATCACGGTGTGTATGTATTTAATATATGATGCTGAATTCCACTTGCTAATATTTATTTTGAATTTTTTCATCAATTGATCTATAGTTTATTTTAGAGAATTGTGGTATCAATGTTGTATTGATTTATGAAAAAAATTGAAAGCATTTTTACCTTTCTGTGCTCTGAGAGAGTTTAAATGACGTTGGATTCTGCTCTCTAAACATTTGGTATAAGTGTCCTGTGGAATCACTGGAACCCAAGGCTTTGGAAGGGAGGGGGATTAGCTCACTTGCAACTTTTTCTGTCCTTCTGTGGAAATTGCACCTGTTTCAATATATTACAGACTGCTTTAATTAATAACATTTTCCTTGAAAATTATCCATTTCATACAAGATATTTATTTGAACTGCCCTCTGCATTAACAGTTTCCCAAGAAAGCTTTAAGATCTCTAGCCAGGAAGATTTTTTTCTCTGACTTTGAAAATTTTGATTTCTGTTTTTATTGAATTTTGATCCAAGAATATTATATTTATTATTTTACTTATTTGAGATTCATTAAAGTTTGCTCGGTGGTCTTTATAATTGGTCAATTTTTGTGTATTTTCTATGGGCAGGTAAAAGAAGATACATTCTCTATATTAAGTTGTAATGTTAGATATATATATCCCTCAGATTTACCACATTGATTTCATTCTGTAAGTCCTTACATTTTTTTGTACACTTGGTATGTCTTGGAACACGAAAGATACAAACCACCTCATATAATTGTTTCTGTATATTTCTTTTCATATCTCCTTTAATTTCTGCTTTATAAAAACTTTTGATATATTACTTGGTGCAAAGATATTTACAAATGTTACATCTCTATTATGATTTTATCTTTTGACATAATAATGTGTGTTCCTTTGTCTGATTTAAGAATTTTTAGCCCAAATTCTACTTTGTCTGATAGAGAAAGATGTATTGCACTTGCTTGGTATTCTACTGGCCAAACTTTTCTTTTAACATTTTGAAATTACTTTGTTTAGTGTGACAGCTGTATGCAACAGAGTTGTTTTTTGCTTTGTGATACAATACAAAACTTTTTAAATAGGTGAATTGAGCCTAATTACATTTACGGAAACCACATTTCCTTGCCTTTATCTCGGTCGTATTATGTAATTTGCACTCTTTCTGTAATTTTAAGACTTTCACTGTGTGGTCTGTTTATGTTGTTCTGTGCACATGTGTGTATGGATAGCCTTTTCTTGTGGTGGCTGCTATATCTACACAGAATTCCTTTGGTTCCCTTTCAATTAGGTAATTCTTATTTATTCCTTACTACCAGCAAAAAT